TTTTCATGCAGAGTCAGTAAGACCACCAAACAAATGGGTGCATCAAAGGTTGTAGCAAAAGACCATGTAGAGAAGGCAGATTTTGTGAAAGCAGAAGACTGTGACTTCATTGAAGAGCCCATTGGTGAACCTTTTACATTTACCAGAAGGCCAGTGTCAAAGCTCTTCCCTGTTGAAAATTTAAGTCCCAGACCTGAAGATGTCCCCTCTAGTGATAAGCTGCCTGTGCCCATGCTTACAATGAATCTACAACTAGACTCTGTTCCAGTGAATAATCAGCTGCATATGCCCATTCTAGTCACTTCAAAAAAACATAGGCCTTTGGGTCTTTCACCATTCCAGTCTCCTGACTCTGACTGTAATCAACCTCAGATTATATCAGTGAGCAGCAAAGTGAAGTCTGAATTCTCCATCACCCAAGACCCTCTGATGCAGAAATCCTCTACTGACTTTCCCCAGATTGTGGATGTTAGAGGTTCTCCTAATTTCAGTGCTGGGGTCTCTGGTGGACCTTCAGTTGTGAAAGAAAGTGGTATCAGTGGTATTACTTCTCTCATGAGTTTTACCACAAGTGCTTCATATCCTGCCCCTCAGATTATGCCAGTGACCTCTATCACACCTAATATGCGAAACATGAATGTGTTGCATTATCAGCCTGTGATAACCCCTACCAAGACCTCTCTGGCTGTGACAGCATCCTCCTGTGGACCTGTATCATTCCCACCAGTAAAACCTAATTTTATTGGCAATCCTGAGACCCCTATTGTCAATGGATGCCTGAAGGTGGTCAATATCACCCAAGCACACATGGGCTCTGTGACTAGTAAAGATGCACCCCAAATAGTTTCTGTGAGTAGTGAAGCAATCACTGCCCCCTGCATTGTTTCTGTGTGTAGTGAGTCACTGAATTTGTGTCAAATTTCCTCTTCCAAAGAGATGGCGCCTCAAGGATCTGAGGTTGTCTCTGTTGTGACAGTGCCACCTAACATATCTCAAACACTCTCTACTGGTAAGGCACAGCTTACTGGTAGACCTCTGATTGTCCCTTCACAGAGGAAACAGTCCCCTAATAGACCTTCAATCTTGCCTCCTATGGAGGCACAGCTCTCTCAATATACTTGTGCCAGACAGACACCATCTACTAATGAATCTCTGATCTTTCCTCCTATGAAGACACAGCCCCCTCCACTTGTCTCTTCTAGGGGGACACAGCCCCTTCATCTTATTTCTATTAAAGGGACACAACTTCCACAGCATATCTCTGTTTGGAGAACACCATCCCCAAATGGATCTCCTATCTTCCCTCTTTGGAAAACACAGCCTCCTCAGCTTATCTCTGCAAGAGGAACACTGTTCCCTGATGGATCTCCAATCTTCCCTCCTAGGGGTGCAAAACCCCCTAATGAACCTCTCAAATCCCCTTCTAAGAATGCAGAACTCACTAATGGACCTCACATATTCACTCAAAGGGGAGCTGAGCCTCCTAATGGATGTGGGATCTTTGTTAGTGGTGCACAACCCAATAATGGACCTGTGATCAGTTCTGTGATAGGAAGTTGATCATTCACCACAGATATGTTCCATAAGTGGCCATCGTACTCAAGTTCCCATGCTGCTAAATGCTTCAAGATTGATCCCTGGACTCTCACATATCTTTGCCCCTGAAACCCCAGCAATTTTTCTGTGCAATCTGGTGGATTTCTTGTTGTGGAAGTTGATGCAGAAGGCCTTTTGGATTTTTTTTTTTAGAGTTTCAAGTGTCCTTGCACAACTGTGAATGCTGTCAAGAAATCTATATCATTCTTGTTTTTTATCTACTCAGTATGCCATCAAGTGTAATCTGAAATGAATTTAACTCCACCAGACAATGACATGCTGGTGTCTCCAAGAAAGCCAAAGAGAATGATTAATTTATGCTAAGATTGTCAATTCTTTTTCTTGTTGCATCAAGTAATGCAGATATATAAATCCAATGACTAACTCCTGAAGTGAGTGACCCATATGATGAAAGGAAATCCAAAGAGGAATAGGAACTGAAGCCTGAGCCAAGACAAGCTGCCCTGTGTAAATAGATCTATTATTACCAAAGTAGTTCAGCTGGAAATTGAGGCACCACTTGAAGTGTCTGCTGGCAAGTATTGTAGTGCAACTATGATGCCCATTTGATAGTACAAGTACGTTAATGCCAAGAAGCAGAGGTACAGCCAGAGCTATCTATCCACAGAGAACAGGTGGACTCAACTGCATGAGTGTTATTAATCACTGGAACTTATTTCAGAAATTTGGACATAACTTGATCTCTTAAGAAATCTCATCAGCTCTTCAGACACTCTCAATAACAGTGCATAACCACTTTTTTCACATCCCTTTTTGGTTGCTGTTTTATTTGAGTAGATTCCACAGTTGTGTAATGGAACTAAATATTGAGTGAACAATTGTTGGTTAGGTAATTTTTTGCTTTAGGTGCCATCCTCTCTTTGCTAAGGTTTCATGATAAAAACTCACTAAAATTGCAATGCCATCCATTGCATATAATCAGAAGACTTTTGCTGGAGAATTGAATCATCACTAAAGAACCATGTTGCTTCATTGCAAAGAAACTGAAGGATCTCTAGCTCTATATAACTATAACTGCTCTTGTCCAGCAGAATATGCTGTAAATGCTTCTTGAAATTTCCCTCAAGTTCTTGGAGGGAGGCTGCAGCTTGCCAGAAACCAGTTAACCAGAAAGGCCTTCATCCGGATGGTTTATCCCTACATGTCATTAAATACCATGAATTGCTTTGACTTTTGTTGTGGAGGGAGGTGGAGTTGGATGGTGTACATGTAACTCATTTTATCCTGATTTTAAACATTTGGTGAGAACTGATAACTTATCCTTGCATCATATCTGTGATTTTGATGGCCCATCGGAATGCCAGGATATTGGAGTATCTTTGTATGGGGCTGTTTGAGGTCCAGCTTCACTAGGTAGGCGCATTCACTGATTCTATGGTCTAATGCATTGGCCATAATCTGCAGCCTGATTGTGCCTTAGCCTTCTTTTTTCAAGGGACTTTCTGGGGAGAATCTGCTAATGTATATCATGAGTCCCTGTGAGAATTATTCCAACTAATTTCAGCACACTGCTCGAGCTGCTATCTACGTTTTGGCAACATTTTCTCTTATTGACAACCCAAGGAATTATAACTTTCTTTTTTCATTCCTGTGACATCCTTTGCCCGTCATCCATGGAACTGGCAGTACACCCATATAGGATGTCCCATGGACGTCAAAATGGCGCCCCTAAGACCTTCTCCTGGATGCCCCGTGCTACACAACCACACGCCACAGCATGGGTGTCAGTTGACGCATCGCTGCACTGATGTCTTCGCTACAGTCCTTTGAATCTTCGCTGATGTCTTCCCCTTCTCATTTCGCAATATCTTCGATTACGTGGGAGCCGGATAAGGTCTATCTCATCAATTCCGAGGATCAATCTTCATTAATATTATCTGCATTTCGTGCGCATTATGGTGCGAGTGATGAAGTCAACTATTTTAATGTGCGATCCTACGACCTCCTTGAAACTGTAATCGACTTCATGACACACTACAACAATGGTCGGCAACTGAATTTCACGGGGGGTCGGATGACAAAATGCTGCAAGTTCGCGGGCCAGCACTCATCGTGTGTCATTAACATTTTAATATTTATTAATGTCAAATGTCAAACGTGCAACCGAACGGCGACTGTCAGACCGTGATGTGCGATAGCCGGGCCTTCGCGAGCCAGAGAAAGAGCTTCTGCAGACCGGATCTGGTCCGCGGGCTGCCAGTTGCCGACCACAGCACTACAAGTTCCTGTACGATATTTCATCATTATTGCTTAACTCATTTTTAGTGTTAGTGAGTTCTTTTTTTCTATGTGACGAGTATTTATGCTAAGTACCGAATGTTTTATGTGCGCATTATGAAATGCCATTGAAGATTTTAGCTTGATCTATGAAAATTGGTCATTTTTGGCAGGAGCTTTTTCCATTCGCCTAAGCAGCCATGTTACAGTTTGTGTATAATGTCCCTATTCTTTTGTCACTTACATATTTTTCACGTGTATATTCACACGAAATGAAGCTTGACACAAGGCTATAGAGGGCTGTTTTTGTCATCCAATCACGACCAAGCGAGTGAACCTCCTCATCTACCAACCTGATGGTCATGTCTCTCCATCTCGTCGGAGTGATGAAGTCATCGCCTATTCCTCTCCCATCCCCTAACAGTATTAAACATCAAGCTTACAAGCTCCTTACCATCCTACTGCACCAACTCAATCTGCTACAAAACCTTTTTCCAGGCCTGACGTCTCAATTTAAGATATGAACCGGCTAATGGAAAAAGCCACATGAATCTGCAGAATTTCCTTCCTCCGGCACCCCCATCAAGATTAGCATTTTTTCAGTGCACGGTACATTCTGAAGTTGTAGATTTATTCAAAGAGAATTTCCTTAAGAATATTATCTACTATGTTATAGTAGATAATATTCTTACTTATCTCAGCCTAAATGCAAATTATTACGATATCTCCGGGATGTTATTGTGGGCTTCAAATCCATACATAGGTGGTCGGCTGTCACTGGTCGCAATAAAGTGAATGAACGTCTGACAAACAGGTTTAGGATGGCGAAAAAAGTGTCCAGAAATGAAAAAATAAGCCCTGTCTTTGCTTCGTATTTTCATTTCTTCTAACTTCGGTACCGCCAAGGACTTTGAATGAACATGAACTGAATTTGAAAAAGAATTTAAGGTTCTTTTTCAGATTCAGATTGAAATTGCGAAGGTTTCTCCCATCAAAGTTGTTTCAGATTTCAACGTTAGACGGAAGCTTATCCCAATCGATCTTGTGTGAAAACTGCCTTTAGCACATTCATTGTAATTGACTTATGCCGAAGGAATGAACCTTCCAGAGATTTTTTAAATTGGGAAATGACGACTTCTTAACTCCGTCCGACCAATTCAGGAAACCGAGGATCTTAATCGGATATATTTTCTGAAAATTTCAGTTTCGTGCCCTCACAGTATACAGAATGTGAAACTTCGACATCCAATATGAGTCATGATTGACGTGGAAGGGGAGAAAGGCGGATTTTGATAGACTCTGATGGAACTCCGATGAGGCGCATTTCGTACTTCACTTCACTCTCATTCAATGCTTCCAGGTTGTAATGCCTCAGCACCTGCAATACATAATATAGGATTTTAAGCCTCACAGCTGCTGTTGCAGCTGCAGTCTTCCAAAATTCGAAAAAGACCATAGGAAAATGTGAAGTCAAGAAAGCATTTAAGAGACAGCTGTCTGTCAATTACATTTCAATGGTTCATTTAAACAAATATTCAGATTGTAAATGAACAGAACTTCAGGAAAGTAGCTGGTACCAATTAGTTAAAGAAGGCTCATCTGTTGTATTCGTCGATGTCTTCATCTGAAAGAGTAATTCGGGTTTTTATCGGATGGCTTCGATTGGATTATATGTGAATTATTTTGACAATTTTATTCAATAGAACATGAACTGTATTTTGCGCAAGAGCGGAGTAGGTGGGTCTCTCCGGCCTTCAGGGTCATCGTTTCTTTTTCTGTGAACATAACTCTTTCACTGGAATTGGCGTCTCTCGGTGCCTAAGAGAAGCCAATGTCTTCTCCAGTGACGCCTCCAGGAGAAGGTTGGAGATTTAAATTTCTATCTGCCATTGAAAGGATTAAGAGACTTACTGTGGAGAGAAGAAGGTGCATGTTGATTAGTGCAATTTTCTTGCCGACGCATGACCTTCTCCCAGCTCCGAAAGGGAGGAAGGCAAAACGAGACTCAACCCCAACCTCCTTCCATCTTTCGGGTTTGAATTCTCCCCCGTGTTTGAAATGCTTCTCGTCTCTCCCCATCGTGTACAGGGACAACAAGAGGAGTACCTGTGGAACGAACGATGCTATCCAAAATTAATCATAATCGTCTGTGAGTGTCATGCCACAAGAGCAAATGACATCAGTAGCGTCGGGTGCCAAGAAGAAAAGACTCATTCAGCTCCGGAGTGGAGAACTGACAGACATGACATTCGCTATGCAAAACAAGCGATTATGTGTTTGTTGGAAATCTGGGTTTTTCAAATCGTGTGTAGTTTACACTTGTTTCTTTTTCCAGATTGGATAGGACATTACAGTATTAAGGAAATAATAGGGCTGTTCTGTGAGCACGCTTAGAGACCAATTTTTTTTGTTGCAATTTGTGACCTAAACGAAGGAAAAATCTTAATTTTCTCTGTGGTAACAGTAAACTTGGTGATGGGCTTCAGGTTTGCTTATCTATTGCATATCTGGTTGTACATATAAAGAACTGCAACCATAAGAAACAGATTTTATCTATTGACCTCGGCGCCCAGTAACTGAGATGTCCACACGCTAGTCATTCAAAGGATTTTCCATCTTGTAGTAAATCAGGTTTTTGCAGCCTCTTATTGAAAAAGTATTCCATGACGATGAACAGTATATGAACTGGACTGTTTTTAGCTTCTCTTAGGAGAGATTTCGCCTACGTCTTTGGGGATGCGGTATTGCGAGATGATAGAATCTCGAGGTAGATATCGAGTGAGGAACGGAGCGACGGGGAAGAGCCGCATGGATTCATTCACCACTCCCCCTACTAAATGGGGTGTGTTACGAATCTCCTCTTGAATCCTTGGGTGGGTGGCGAGGAGATGAAGGCACCAGGTGAGGGTATAGGACGTAGTGTCCGCGGCTGCTAGGAACAGATCCACGAGGACCTTCGTCAACAAGTCTTCCTTCATTCCCAGTTCTTTTTTCTGAAATCCCTCCAGCCTCTCCTTGACCATCTGCTCCACTGTGAACGAGAGACTCGCATTAAACCCTTTCGGAAGAAGGTTAAGGGTGGATATTTGAACAGAGCACTATCCAATAATGCAGCTTTTTTTTTCAGGAAATATATTTATTTCTTAGTTTTCTGATAATAAATCCACAATAATTGTGGAACCACATCAGTAGTTCCGCACTTAATGCAATGGGGATGCATTAAATGCGGAATTAGCTATATATTGATGAAGCCATGTGTATTTTTAGTTTAAAAAAATTCCAAGTAATACATTAGAGAGAGACCTTTGAACAGCTTTAGGTGCCTATTCCCGTTTTTTTTTTCGACCATCAGCCACTTGAATTGTGAAATTTCATCTATTATCGTAACTCCTTTCATTCTCTTTCTGTTACAGACTTGGCTCACGTTAGACCGAAATGTTTGTGTTATTACGTCCTGAAGTTGACAGTCAAATCATTTTGCCAAGTACAGCATTTGCTATTGCATGTAGATAAACGCTTGTCAAGAAGAGACGCGCCAGCGGCAACGACCTCGCTATGTGAATGTATTCGGAAGTTTCGGAGCATTACAGATTCAAGTCACCGGGAGATAGAAGTATAATTCAAATTAGCCTTTGTTTTAAAGTAGGGTAGTTTCAATTTAGTTATTTTCAATGCTATTGGCTAGTATAATGTTGCCAAAGCTCATTCTGCTACCATAATTCCCACTGTTCGAAATTTAAATGTACAAATTTGTTTTTTTTGTGTGTGTAAAATTTAAAGAATCCATAGCTTATCTACATATACTGTAGGCACGTGTCAAACTTATTCCCAGAGAACTGTACGTGACAGAGGTCAGCCAGGTGTCAATCGACTCTACAAGAAGTGATGGTTTGCCGAAAAATGCCAAATCATCAAAAAGTTAATTGATTACAAAGTTGATTAAAGTTTTCCAATTGTGTCCAAAATAACTAGAAATGCCTGTAAATGCCTAAAAATGCTCTAAAACGTGCAGAATGTCCCAGAATTCAGTATAGCACGATGAGTCGAAACACAACAGGTGAACTGAAACTCCCTGAAAAATACTCAAAGAAGAATAAGCGTAGAATCCAGACCCTTTATACTTTTGTACCCTTCTGATCATCCTATTTCATGTCTTGAGCTGGATTTTCGATTCAAAGGAGTTAGCTATCTAGATTGGCCACGATATTCGTGGGCTTTCCTGCTAGTTTGTAATAAAGTTACAGAAAAATGCACCTATGAAATATGATTCATATGTCTCGGCTTTCGTTTCAGCCCAAGAACACTTTACTAGCTCAACTAAGGCCAAAGATAGCCGTTTGACCCGTGGGATCACTCTTCCCTCGAAGGGCTAAGTTTGGGGCTGAATATCACGATAACCATTTGTGCAAGACCGCTGAAATTTGATTATTTTTATAACTCAGGGAGATCATTAAGCCTTAATTTTCTCCAGTAAATCCCTGCCGCACGCGCTACCACCATTTGCTCACTTGAGCTGGAATGCTTCGTAGGTGGTAGGGATCTACTGTTTCAAAAATATATCCAAGGTATAAAAGCAATATTACTTCTTTATAATTTTTCATAGCAGTTGCTGAGACATTGACCTTTTCCTGGAAATTTTTTGTCGATAAATAACATTGGGTGTTTTAGGCTCAAGTGATGTCATTATGGCAATTTTGGATTCCTCGCGTAATTTCCAGTGAATTTACTCAAGGCTCTAGAATGATTAGTTCTTGAATTACAATGATATAAAATCAGAGGTTAGCAGGTGACCCTTAATTTTGACCATCCTGTAGCCCTTCGACTTACTAACCCAATGAGGTTGAAATTTGACCTTTTCGGATTTTGGAGTAATAGAACTCTGTATGCTAAATTTCGTCAAAATCGAAGTTGGTTGGTTGTTAATTTTTCATTTAGCAGTTTCATATGGAATGACTCGCCAATAAATCTCTGCTGCAATTTTTTTTTTGAGGGGGGGGGTGGGGGGGTGGGGGGAAGGGTAAAGTATTAAATATATGCGATTCCTGGGGTTTTACTTCTGCTCAGCTTTGCAATTAAATGAGAGGTGTATGTTGAAACTTAAGACTGAAACTTGCTTCAAGACTAGTTTTTTGATGGCTAATAAACATTTCCCATAGACGTAGGGAAGGACACAAGTAGTTCTGTCTTGCAAAGTAAAAGAAAGTTGCTGTATTGGAGGGCAACGCTTTTATTTAGAGAGGGGATTCCTCCCAAATCCTTGGAGAATATCCACATGTCCATGAATGTGTATAGTGATACTCATTTTTGCATCAAGTGTCCTGACATTCCCAACCTGGCGAAACGCTTTTCCCCGACTTTGAGGTTGGAATGGATGTCGTCATGGGGACACTATATATTCCAGCTGGCTATTCAACATATTTTAATGCAGTATTGCTCATGTTGCATTGGATTTTCTGTTGATTTTCCGCGGTCTTAAACAAATTTAACTTTTGAATGGACATCAAACACCAATGAAGAATAAATCTCTCGTCAGCCTCCAAGACATGGAAAGCAAATTATGATATAGATGCAACAATGCGTTGAGTTACATTATCTATAACCTTATAATCAATTAATTTTCTTATAGTGTTATTTAACGTAACTATAAGTTCATTAATGTAATGTTATAACTTGATATTTTGATATATTACATAAAGTATTAGTTTGTTGATGGATTAGGCCAGACCGATGGCGAGGGCAGAGTGGAAGGCGGAGACGAAAGAGGTCCAGACGGGAAGGTGGAGGGCAGCAGCCACTTTCGGAGGGAAGAGTGTCATGGCGGCCGACTGGTGGAACAGTTCCCTCACATTCCGCATGAGTACCTCCAAATCCCCTTCGGGAAACCGGAAGTCTTCTCCGAACATGTAGCTCCCCACCACTGCATTTCATGTTGGTATTGTTCTATCACTTCGATCATAGCTACAGGTATAACTGAACACTTTTCCGAACACAAGTAAATACCAGTCTTTATTGAGTATTTATTTAATTCATTGGGTCGATCGGAAAGTTCTGGCCGTTTCGAGAACATTCAATACAACCGAGTTTTTTTTTTTAAAGCAAAAAAGTTCATTCAACGAAGTAATCGCCATCACAGTCAATCACCTTCTGCCAACGATCAGGCAGACTCCTGATTCCATCCCTGTAGAACTGAGCTGGCTGTGATCGAAAAAATAAGTCAGCAGTTTTCGACCTCGGCGACATCGTTGAACCTTTCTGGCGAAGATGGTTGTCCAGAGCGCGGAAGAGATGGTAGTCGGTTGACGCCAGATCTGGGCTCTACGGAAGGTGAGGCAGAACCTCCCAGCCAAGATCCAGCAGTTTCTGCCGTGTGATCTTCGCGACGTGCGGCCTTGCGTTGTCATGCAGGAATCGAACACGACGGCGCCCTGGCCTCACCGTGCGGAGTTTGTCGGCGAGCTTCTGCAGCCTATCGCAGTAGTAGGCGGCGGTGATGCTGGTATCGGGTGGGAGCAGCTCGAAGTCGATCACGCCTTGCACATCCCACCAAATGCGCAACATGACTTTTCGGGAGTGCAGGTCACCTTTCGGCTCCGGCTCTGGCTGGGCATCGGCATCGACCCACTGGCGCCTGCGTCGATAGTTGACATACAGCATCCACTTTTCGTCTCCGGTGACTACGGAATCCAGCCAGTCGTTTGTGCGCTCGTACGACAGCAGCGAAGTGCACGCCTCAGCACGGCGTTCGCGGTCGCGGTCGGTCAGATCGTGGGGTACCCACTGACCCAACTTGCTCTTCTTGCCGATTGCAGCCAGGTGCGTCACGATCGTGGACTGGGCGCAGCCAAGTGCTGTCGCTAAGTCGCAGGTATTTTGCCCTCGGATCGGCTTCCACTGTGTGCTGCAACTGCTCGTCGTCGATTTCAGATGGGCGGCCTGACCTGGGTTCATCCTCGAGGCTGTAATTTCCAGACCGGAAACGATCGAACCATCGTCGCGCCATCCTTTCATAAACTGCACCTTGGCCAAACGCGGCGCAGATGCGGCGACTTGATTCAGCTGTTATCTGTGATGCCAGATAGAAAGTCGTAAAGAAGGCACTGACGTTGGGCGGTCTTGTTAAAGTCGATTTTGGAAGTCATGGTTATAGGCTTTGAACGACTAAGCAACTGCTGAGTAATCACGCCCACACACCCTTTATATACTGCTACTGTAGAAGGTTCGAGGAAGTTCCATACATTTTTTTTCTGGAAAATTCTCGAAACGGCCAGAACTTTCCGATCGTCCCAATACGTAGTACTTTGAGGAAAAATTAGTTACTTTTTTCTATATCAAATAGCTCAACGGAGAACTACGAAAGATATCGTGAGACGGGATGACTTGATGCACTTTTGAACTTCAACGTCACATAGCAATCATAGTAATGGATGTGGATCATAAAAAATTATTTTGTGCATCTGTATATAGGTCTACCCTTCATTTTCAACATTTTCACGCCAAATTATTGGCTCAATAATTAATTATTTGGGTGTATCAAGTCATCCGATAAAAGGGGGTGGCTTGATACACCTGTACTTTTTGTATTTAGGTTCATTTCAAGCTTTGTATGCCGACTTAATGTAAGATATATTTCGTTAAGCTACAATGTGAAGGCTTTTGAGGTTATTGTCTCCCATCTCAGTGATTTAATAGGACTTTCTTCGTAGAGGATTTCTTATCTTCCTCGATTAAACAAGAAAATTGTTCCCCGACTGCGTTCTGGAGGTCTCGTAGAACTGGCTATCTTGCCGTATCGACATGCAGCCTTGACAGCCTCTCCTAGCCTACCATCCGTGCATAAGATACAACTGATTAATGTGGGGCATCGTAATAGAACACAACAGCGCGAACAGAGACAGTATCAGCACTGTCTGTCGCGCGCGCTGGAAGCGCTAACCCGGAGAGAACCAGGGGCCTGTTCCTCGCCTCTGCTAAACTTAAATCTAAATCTAAAAGCAGTCTAAAAGCAAAAAGTATATTCTTCGCCCTGACCCTTTAGACTAAGATTTAGCCAAAGATTTAGATTTAAGTTTAGCAGAGGCGAGGAACGGGCCCCAGGAGTTAAAGTTCTTCCTTTACCTCGCTGTGGTCTCACTCCCTGTGGCCTTAACATCTTCCCCACACTGCGCAACGTGCCGCTGTAGGTGTACCTCGTATCAAGTCATCCCCTGTGCGAGGGGTCAATGAGATGAAATTAGTGCTTAATTTTTCATAATTATGCATTAGGTTTCTGAAATACATACATACAAGTTGTTTTTCTCTCGCAAAAAAGCAAAACCCGCAAACTTTGAAAGTATAAAATAGATCTTAAAATAATTAACCTCTATTCAGATTTTTTTAAAAGCATTAGTGCAACTATCTGTGGATCGATAGGAATTTTATTCATTTGATTCTGACGTAAATAAAAAGATGATAGCCCAAAACGTTGAATACATAAGTGTGTATTTAGTCACCCTATTTTCGGGTAGAGGTCAATAATAGGGTTTGTTTCGATCGTTTAGTGCAGTACTTTATGCAGCTCAAGGAGGGTAAAAGCAATGTGGGTGGGTATTGAGTTGGTTGCCGAAATTCTAAACAAAAAAATATTAATTTCGAGCAGTTGGTGATAACATGCCTCAAAATAGCAGTGAAATATCAGAACACTTCTGTAACGAGAAAGAAGGTGAGATATCTAGCGCGAAGGAAGCTCAATGCAACATCAGAATGAACAGAATCGAACTGACAGGTGCGAGATGTGATTCTCGATGCGTGGCTGTCGTACCTTGCAAGGACCATTTATAGAGGTCTTCCTCGAGGTTTTCGATGGGCTGAGTCCATTTCCCGAGGACCAAGTCGTCGGACAGAACTTGGAAGTGTGGATGATGGGCTTCGATTCGAGCCTGAGATAGGAGAAACCGGCCAAATCGTTGTCTCTCCTCCTGCCATTCGGCCCCATCCCTATTAAAGCCATGGAATCTCAGATCCTTATCACAGGGCTTCTATAATAATGAGGGCATAAGACAAAAGTGGACGGCGGGTTTACATGCAAGTCATTTTCTTCTTCCTTGCACATCAATTCATGTGCGAATTCCTGGTACCAGTGGAAGAAAATGACCCTATGTCATTAGGTCATATAAGGTAATACATAATGTTTATGGTAATATTTAAGTAATATTTGATGATATTAGGCCATTTTCTCAGACATACTGGTAACCTCAGATCTCCATTTCTCTCGCGGCCGATTGGAATGAACATAAGAAAACTAAACTTGATTCAACTCTGCATTTACTTTACTGATTGATTTACGTCTCGTGTCAATGTTGGTTCTAGAGTTTCTTAATTTGCGGATGGCATTTAATTTAAATATACCTTTAAAAAAAAAAAAACAGCTGAACGATGGAGACAAGGAAAGAGAAGGCGTTCACCTCCACAGATCCCAAGTCCCGGGGCTGTCTGGTCCTTCTTGGCTCCCGTCCCACACATTCCCTATTCCCTATGACCCTGTTTAATTCCCCCCGGGAGGCTAAGGTCCGATTGCTCAAATCTTATTTAAGGGAGAAAAAGGGGGTTTTAAGGTAGCAGACCTACTTTTGAATCGTCATTTTTGAAAGAAAAAAAATATTTCCAAGAAAATTGGTCATGATCATATTTCAACTCGTGCGGATTCATAATATTGCCATAAAAAGCTGTAATTATAAAAATAATGGTTAATTAGCTTAATTTGTTATCAATGTCCTTAACCTGTTGTCCCTGGCAACCACGTTGGTCGCAATTTTCTCGATACAGCTTTTTTCAGGTGACAGATGCTGCTCTGAAGAGGATAACTTTTCGTGTACAGTCAACTCTCGACATACCGCCACTGTTAGTCTTCGCCGATTTTGGCGCTATAACGAAAAGCGCGGCTTAAAGCGAAAAATTTCCGAATTATAACTCAAATTTAAAATAGAATTAGCAAAAATAATCCACTCATTTTTTTCCCACCACGGTAGTACATGGTATGATCATTGTAGCTGGTACGGTATGCTGCTTGACGCTATGTTGAGGGTTGACTGTAATAAACCTATATCCTTCATTTTCGGCTGAGAGCTACCTTGAATGTTCCTCCAAGGAATGATTGTAGCTTTTTTCGTTTACCCAATCCTTTAGCACTTTTGCGTACCGTTGAATATGTAATTAGGTCACAAAAATAGCTGAAAATCGCTAAAATATTCATTTTTGAAAAAGTCACCTATTTCTTGAATAACTGTTTCCCTCAGGACATTTGTAAGGATTCGAACTATTGGGTTTTTGGGAAAGTTCTGTCGTTTTTGCTTATGTATAATTGTACTTATCTCTCAAATACGAATACAGCTAGTGCTGAATCATCGATTTTTTTTATCTTTGTGGATTAGAGTATGAAAAGATGTCATCACTAGCCGTATTCGTGTTTGGGAGATGAGTCCAATTGTACATAAACAAAAGCGACAGAATTTTCCCACAATCCCAATACAACACTTGTCAATTCCATCAAATATATGTGAATCATCTGTGAGGAATACTGTTTGAAAAAAATTAATTTTTTTTCCGCTCTGGGGGCCATATTGGACATCATTAGCATAAATTATGCAAATTATTTCAGTAAACGCGATATTTGCCCAATCCTCTTTCATATAGTTAATTTGATTTCTGGGAAGGAATAGCGATGGAAAAAATTACCTTAAAGTAAGGCTACCTTACGCTAATGAGCTCTTTTTTTTTCCATAAAAGTCATGGGTGGATAGCATAAAACTGACTTTAGCGTAATAAAGCTTTAAATCTCCTTTGAAGGAAGTTTAAGCTTCTTTACGCTAAAGTCAGTTTTATGCAATCCACACCATGTATTCTTAAAGGACAATTAAGTAAAAGAGGTTTCAGCATTCGGACCTTAGTCTTTTTTTTAATTCCCCTTTCCGGTAGATCCATATATTGTGTTTGGACAAATATAGGCATTATGATACTAATTTGAGAAATAAAGAATAATTGCTCCCCCCCCCCCCTAATTCTCATCCTAAGCTACGAATGTACTATTTTACTTCATTATATCCTTAAAACTGTATTATGATTTAATGTTATTTTGCTTATTCATTATTGCAATTTTCTTGGCACTGACCTTATTCTTGGGGCATACTAGGGGTTACCAGGGTAACCTTGGTTTATTCCTTTCTTTCGAAATAATATCTCGTTGCTCCCGTTACACCCGTTCCTCCCTTCCAAAACTATGGAAAATTATGTTTCGAAGGGAAGCTTGTTAAAGTAATCTTTTGTGAGATACTTGTGACATGCGATTTGCTACCATCGGATTCACGAAATGGGAGCAAAGGTGAATAATATATACGAGCCTCAGCCGACTCAAGGAGAGAGTAGTTTCTTTTTTCGAAAAGGAATTCTCATATCATAGGTTAAAAAACCGGAATGCTCACATGAAGAAGAGTCCTCTCCGGCAGCCGAACTTGCGATTATAAATGATCCAAGGTTCCGGGATGAGATGGCGAGGCCAGGGCCCCTCATGACGGAAGATTTCCTTCACGATCCCCGGATCCGCGACGAATATCGCCTCCACCGACCCCAATCTATCGCGAAAGATGGGGCCCAACTCACGATGCCTTCGGTCCACGTATTCGTGGATTCGCGACACAGAGCCACTGCTGAGGAATTCGGGAAGAGTGCCGAGAAGAGGCCATCCTTTAGGCCTGGGAATGACCTCGACCTTGTCCTTCGGGACGCGAGAGGTGAAGGAACGATGGATTCGAAGACGAGGATGGAGGAACATGCACATGCACAGCCGACCAGAGCCTCCCATCATTTTTTTTTCTCTCTCTCTCTCTCTCGTAGTGTATGCAACTCGAATGCCCCAAGGGCAAGCAAGCATTCGCTACACCCTCTCGCATCGGGGGGTAAAGCCAAGAGGGGGGGGGGGGGGAAAAATTAGAAGTGTCCCTCCCTGAAACCTGATGGACTCGGATCCGCATTCATTGGTGATCGGGCCCCGAGGAGATTTCGTGGGGCAAAATCGCGAGTGCATCCGAGTACGGCCTCGCGCCTTTCATCGCTTCTGCCGAAGCGATTACTGCTTGTAGGGCTTAACTTCAGTCGGCCGACGGGACTAGATCATCGGCATAGCACAACAGTGGCGTAGGGAAGGGGGGAGGGGAGGGGGGGTTTAGGGGGTTAGAACCCCCCTTGGGCTTCTCGGTCAGTGACTCTGACAGGCATATTTCAACCTTCCTTGGAAATTCCAATTTTAGCTATGCCCTTTCGAGGAAAGTCTGAGGTCCGTCCACACACCCAAGATACCAGACCATGATTTCTTTGAAAAGGTAAATTCCGGGTAGTGGAGCTAGGCGTAGGGTTGGGGTGTCAACCTGGCCTCAACCCCCCCCCCC